CCAGTAGCATGCTGAGATAAAGGGCTACAAAGTTTGTTGAAATAAATGACCTTCACCCATATTCAAGGTCACTGGGTCAAATATGTCAAAAACTTTAAACAACTTCTTCTCAATAACTAAAATTCCCTGGGTGATGATATTTAGTCAGTAGCATACTAGGATCAAGGGCTACCAAGTTTGTTTAAATGTATGACCTTGAATCATATTCAAGGTCACAAGGAGCAAATATGTTTAAAATATTTTAACAACTTGTTCTGAATAACCAAAAGGCTCCGGATGTTGATATTTAGTTAGTAGCATATGCTGGGATCAAGGACTACTATGTTTGTTAAAGTGAATGACTTTAACTTATATTCAAGGTCACAGGGTCAAATTTGTTTAAAATCTTTAAACAACCTCTCATGAATAACCATGGGTCCCAGGATGTTTATACTTTGCAAGTTGCATCCTGAGATGAAAGCCTATACAATGTGTTCAACATAATGACTTTGTTCGACTTTCAATCACAGGGGTGAAATGTTTAAAAAAAATTAACAGGGTCTTTTGAACGAATTTTAATCATAAATACTGATATTTTGCCTGTAGCTTTATTTTAGATCACTTTTAATGTTACAAGTGTGAGTTTTATACCAGGTGAGCGATGCAGGCCCATTGGGCCTCTTGTTACCTATTAGTTTGTTCCTTAAGTTGTTACCTAGAAGTTTGTACCTCAAGTTGTTACCTATAAGTTTGTACCTTAAGTTGTTACCTATAAGTTTGTACCTCAGGTTGTCATCTATAAGTTTGTACCTTAAGTTTTTACCTATTAGTTTGTACCTTAAGTTGTTACTCATAAGTTTGTACCTCAAGTTGTTTCCTATATCGTTGTGCATCAGGTTGTTAAATGTAACTATACGTTTGTTCCTCAGTTCATTACTTTTCAATACTCTGAATGTAGAGCTTTGTACCTCGGGTTGCTACCTATACTTTTGTAACTTAAGTTGTTACCTATAAGATTGTACCTCAGTTACTTTAACTTTGTACCATAGATCGTTACTGGAGACTACTAAGCCCTACCTGATGAACACAATGAGGGTGCCTGCTCTACAGACCACCACCCTCTTCTCCAACTTCATTGACACTAACTCAGACTGTACCAGGTACACGTGTGATTCTCTCTGTAATAATGTTCATTACAATTTTTTCAATGATTTTAATTCAGAATCAGCTATTGTACTGTTTATCACAAAATTACAATAAGCTTACTAGAGAACAGTTATAACAATATTTGTGGTTAAAATGTGTATTTATTAAGCAATTATCTTTTTTTTCGAGTTGTTGCAGGATAAATTTATATAAAAAACAATTGCATGCTTCAGACTTGTATGTGATGGTTGGCTTGAGATCCGTTTTCCTGACGAGGAGTCTGCCCAGCACATCATGTCGAGTGTTATACAGCTACGGGCCACATGGCAGAACCTGCTCACCCTAAGACTGCAGGGTAACTATATCACATCACTGTACATATTCTATATCTCTCAGGCATACAAAGGAAATGAGTTACATTTAATAGTTGTGTGCTAATAAATCTCTACAATGGTTATATTAGATACAAATTATCTTAAAGTTTTAATATATTATGCGTTTTTTCATGAAATGAAATAGAAAACTTTTAAAAGTGTGTCGAATCGAGAAAATATTTAAAAAGTGACACAGTAAACAGAATTTTAATTATTTACTTTAGTATTGAAATGTTGTGTTTTCTATGATATTGAAATCGATGTTTGATGGAGATACAGTAAATATATAAATTATCATAATATGGACTTCTTACTGATAATGTTGCTCGGTCTTTAACTTAAAAAAAATCACATTGTACCATGGTAATTTTACAGATTTTGATGAGTAAATATCATTTGCAACTTACTACTATCTGCTCTTTATTTTCCTATGAACTCTGTGAACATCTATAAAAAAAGCTGATGATCAGTTTTCTACAGTATGGTATATAGGAATAGGTGAGAGGTAACAGATTCAACTATTTTTATTATTTACACACTAGACACATTTAAAAGCCTGGATTCGGAAAAAAGGATCAACCCAAGAGCAAGAAAATTAGAAAAGCTACTTGCTGGAAAGCTAGCTGAGTATTTGGCAAGTGAAGTTCCATATGCTGTGCGGCGTATCATGTCGGCTGAGTTGAAGAACTTGTACAAAGGTCCAGGACAGGGTAGGTACTGAGTAGCTTGTAAACTGTAAATGTCTTTTGTGAATTTTACAACCATGCACTTCAATATTTTACTGTAACTCAATTAGCGTCTGAATAGAAAATTGGTGACCTTGAATGCAATAAATATGAAATATATTTTGTATTTGTAAATACAAATTGATATCTTTCATCGAGTCAAAAATATATCTTTTAACAGATTGATGCAATTCTGTACCTCATTTCCCAGAATGTCATATACGGGTATTAGTAATAGTTCAGGTATCACGAACTTAATGAGAACAACATGGTTCTTTAGCAGATTTATACATTTTACAGATTTTTGTATATAGAGAAAGAGTGATACAATTGTATCATTGATGAGATAAAATATTTTGGTTGTTTAAATATTTTACTATGTTGCTACTTTACTAAATCTAGAGCTGCAGATTTAAATATAACAAACGTTTCAATATCAATGATTTTCCTGAAACTATGAAAAAGTGGCCTACAAGAACAGTTTGAGTTGTCTTTCTTCGCACTGAATCTGGTTAAGTCATTAGTTGAAGTCATTCATTGTTACTACAGTACATACTTGAAAATACGAAACGAGTCAGTTCAGAATATTCGTTGTTGGTTCCGTGGTTTTTGAGTGGGGTTCCAACTCTAGTTTTACCAACTAAGTTGGTATTCGAGTGCCAGTCTAATTTTCATCTTTTTCAGTGATACAACTGCAAATATTGAGTTATACTGGAGTATTTTTTTTTATATCAAGACGCGTCCAGGGTGTACTACTGATAGATAGTATGACACATCAGAGTTATATTTTCTGGACATTGTTTCTTACGTTTCAAATCAAATCGCCCGCAGCCTCTCTGTACCTAGGCTAATATCAGGAGTGTGATGTCAAATACTATGGAGATAAGGCACACTGTTAGTTCCTTTAATAATTGCGACTGATATCTTTAAGGCTATTAATTAGGTATGGTTTATTGTATCAGTATTGGCAATAAAGTTTAGGACATCAGTGGTGATGTTTTTACAACCTCTGTTTCTGTATTGTTTAGAGGCCAACAGTAACAAGGATAACACTGTAGTAGCAGGCTTGATGGGCAGTGACTATGGTGACAAGGAGCATTCAACCAAAGGAGGAACTCAGATCAATTATTACATCACATATGACTGGTAAGTGACAATCGGAATTCAAGTTTGTAGACAAAAATAGTTGTTGAATACTGTAGGACTAGGCGGGTGTTGGGAGATGCATGTTTTTAAAATAGACTTTGATAGTCCTTAATACATCTGAAAAGATAGATGATTTTGGAAACAAGTATGTTGTTGCTGATCAAGAAAACTACTTAACTGATCAGGGATTTGTTCCTACGTAATGCATCAATAAATTGCACTCAACCGGTCTATATTTTAAAGGTTTCTCATCTGCTACAGGTGTAGTATCTATATCTTCCTTTGCCTGAAACATTTCCTCGAGGAAGATATAGCAGAAAATAAAGTACTTTGAGGTATATATCTAACCTATCAATTGTCATCAGGAAAACAGGATAATAAAACAGTGGTTGAACATATTTATTGTGTGGATCTGATATGCATTCTTATGATGAATATAAAAGTTAGCAAGCTTCAAAAATAGGATATAAATTCCTTCAATGATAATAGCAAGCTTTGAGTGTTGTTGCTGCAAAGACACTCTTAGCGATACACAGATTCAACATATGGCATACACTACGGGACAGAAGGGCCATAAATGCACCACCATTGTCAGATCTACCCTGGCGTCCTTCTGTGTGGTGCACCTGTTGTGGAACTCATACCACCAATAAATAACATCCAGAATATACATGCATTAATGTGAAATAATAGGAGCCTTTTTAGCATAGACATGTATAATATCACTATAGAACTTGCAACAACAGAGGGGTATGGTCGTTTGCAATGTTGTCAAGTGTCATAACAGATTTGCATATTGTCAACAGTGCAATGTACGATAGTGGCAAATACTGATTTTTTCTCTTCAAATACAATTCCCAGGTTTTATTATATATGAATATGAACATGGGTGGACCACAACTCTATATCCAATGCCATCTTCGATGGGCAACAGATAGCTTCAATGTCATACTGAAAAATGTTTAGAATTGTATCGGCAGAAAATAGAAGATGCGTTTTAGAAAGTGATTTAATTCAACCTTCGATCTTGTGAATTTACAGCAGTCATCATAAACAGCTTCTGTAAAAAACTAAAACACAGCTGTATCCTCTTGACACTTCAATGTATCGGAAATAACTGGAATCAGGTAGGATTAACTAAATCTCAAGATCTTTGTATAATTGAGCAGTTGGGTTTTTTACGTGACAAAATGATAAAGAACAAGGATGCTTGTTGTACATTCTTGTTCCCAGAAACAATTTGAAGTTATCTGTGGGTATTGTTGTACCCTAGAGTCTAGAAGCCACTGATTCAGCCTTATTAGAAGGGTTAACATGTGCTAGTATATGGTAATTTGATGGCATACTGGTCCAGTAGATGGAAGTAATTATCAGGCTCTAATTCTTCGGTTTTTACAAAAAATCAATACAACAGCTGTTTAGAGCACAATTTACAGGCAGTGTTCTATGTCGCAGATTCAAATCAATAATGAAGACTTGCGAGAAGAAGCTCCCCGACGATTTCCTACGCATACGCTTTGAAACTGTTCAATGTTTTAATATTGTTGTCAAGGTAAAACACTCTTCAGTCTAAGGTATTGATATTATCTGTACTACAACAAAAGATCAATCATATTAGATTGTGACTGGGTCAAAATATAAGGTTCATGATGAGATGTCAAGAGGTACCTAAATAGGAATGTAGTGGTGAAATTTGGTCCTTTCGACACGTCTAGGGATGCTACAGTAGTGAGATTGCACAATGTGACACAATGTCACTGTTTGTGAACGTTGGAAAACTGGATGAGAATAGCTTGCATAAATCTGGGCGCATGATTATTTTACACAACGAACAAATCTAAAACAGATAATTGAGGTTGATTTAAATTTAGGAATGACATATGAATATATACTATTTCCTTTTTAAACCTTGTACATGGGTAGTTTTTATCACCCAGTCACCTCACTGGTGGAGGTGTGAAAAAGTCAGGTCACAGTTGTGCTTTTGATTGATCAACACAAATGGAATGAACATCAATGTAAGATCAAGTTGTATCAACTAGCTGTGCCTGTTGCATGAACTAATATTGAATATATAGTCAGGCAAAATTTCTAGTCGCTTTATTTCTGTTGGCCGGAATCAAGAAATAATATATCTGCTGTTACCCACTGCATTTTGTTAGAGGCAACTAAATATGATCCAATTAGGGATTATTTTGTGTCTAATACTTAGGGACATGAAAGTTACCACAATGAATATCATGCATCCCATTGCAACATTAAAGACCTTGTCATCGACCTAATTTCTTTTCCTAATGCCTTTCCCGGCAATACCTCGCTTTTGGTCATGGTGTTGAGCATTTGTCCAAGCGAGGAAAGTTGTGGATTCTGTCCCCAGAATGAGACAAACCGAAGGTCACTAAAATCAGTACTAACCACCCTTTTGCAGGGTGGATTAGTTTTATTGATTGGGTTGAACATTGTATTAACAGATAAATCCGTTTGCCCCCTTGCAAAATATCACGGATAGAAATCCGACTTTAGAACCCTACTTCACTTAAATATGCCGAAGGCAACCTGTACAGTATATCCACCTGTTCACGTTATACTGACAAAGGGTTAATCAATTGTTGTAATTATCATAAATGCTGAATATTAAGCAGGGAATAACAACTACCATTTTAAAGGACTTAGGTATGTCTCGGCCTAGGGACAGAACCCGTCCCCTTTTCAACTTGGGCAAATTTCAATACTAAGGCCCACACTTAGGTATTGCCTATCATGGCACTAGTAAACAAAAAGGTTGTTACGATGTAAATAGAAAATATCAAGATCCTAAATGTTACAATGGATGCAGCAAATTCATTTTTTACCAATTCGGCTGGGGACATCCGCAATGGACCTTATATCACAAAAGCCTGTAACACTTTTGTTTTATTCTGTGACATAAATCAAACGAGCTTACCAAAGCACACATATGCTTGTATTCTGACACACATCAGGGCCATTGCTTGTTAAATTGATAGATTGTGCCCACAATTATGCGAGCAGTAATTTGGTGCTTCGTGCGATCACAGAACCAAGGAAGGAAGTACAGAAAATCTAGTATCTAAAGTGTTGTAAAGTTTAAGACAATGGGGAAGGGGTTACCCAAAATCTTAACGCGTATACTAGGCAATGAGCAAAGCAAGAACACAAAATCTTGTCCTCTCTGGTAGGCAACGGAAAAGGGAGTATTCAAAATCTCGATTGGAATACTAAACAACAGGAAAGAAAGTTTCAAAAATTTACCAGTTTTCTTAAGTAGTAAAACAATGGGAAAGAATGCACATTGACATCAGGAAAGGGAGTACCCGGTATCTTATGCAATATACTAGACAATGATATCATAAAGTGTTAACGAAAAGGTTCATAATTGAATAGTTATATCAAAATTAATCTAACAAAGAGGAATACCATCATAATTATTTAAGGTACAAAATCCATATATATTAAAAGACGGGTTTCTTTTTGTTAAGAATGAACTGGAGTGCAGTGTACACACACTTGTTTCTTTTGACTTTGGCATTGAGTTTATTTTGCATTTTTGACCTAACATGTCTTCTTTCATGAAACATTTTATTTAGGCGATTCCTGAATATTTCTAACACTGCAGAGAATATTTTTATACAGATGATGCACAGCCCTAGGTATGTAGTCCGAAAGGGGTTACTTTATTCCTGTCATTTTCTGCAATATTTGACCAACATTTGAACATCGTATATGTTTTCTCTGCTGCTGTTACGTTAGTCATAGAATTCAGATTCATTTGTGAACCAGAATTCAGTACCAGGAAAGATTAATGGCATAGATGCTCTGGCGCGATAAGGGGAATGTGAATATAGCTTTATTGATCGTGACGACAGTTTTGGCGACACTGTTTAAGACGTGTCTGATCCTCATTAGAACTTACTGATAGTCTATTGGGTGTGATGCATTTAAAGAATAAAAATGTGTAATTAGACAAAAGCTGATCTATACAGGACAATATAAAAGAACTGATTAGAGTGATTGATTGGCTTAACTCCGTCATCAGTCAGAAACTAGACTTGCTGGAAGCAACGTGTTCTGTAGACTTTAGTGACCAGCAGTAATCAATTTTAAACGGACTACAGTATTGTCTGGAGAGTATTATAATCTCCATTGAAGATATAGGAACACAAGACTAGAGCCAACATTTCCCCACTGTTATACAGTGGATTCATGTTCACCACCAGACACTTGTCAGCACTAGATCAATTTTAATGACTCAATACCCCTTTCTTTACCAAATCTTGGCAGCTTGTGTAGGAAGTAAGATTATTGAACCTGTAACATATAAAGCGGTTATCAGACTATTGGAATTGGCACATCAGTTTGATGACAACAATGTTAAATATGCAAACTGATACTTTTGCATGTTATCTACAATTTCATTACAGCAGTACAGGGCAAATAATACATATAGGGGCTTTGTGTTTCAGTTTCTTGTAAAATTTATGAAATGTATTTGGAAATTTACAATTTGGCAAGGGAAACTTGGGGACGAGTGTCATTTATTTCATGAAAAATGGAAAAAGCCAGATTCCCGGTATTACATAATGACAAATGCATGCAATAATGTATTCCATGGTTAGTTAGTATACATTAAATGTATTCATGAAAAGAAATGTTTACGCTGACCATAATAAAGTCATCAACATATGAACTTTTTAATCTCATGATTAATATCTCCACTATGACATCAAAATGACATTCCAATTGTCTTAATTCTGTCTTCAAAAGTGGTTTTATCACACGAGTTGACGCAATACAAGTTACAATATGGGTGTATCGACTCCATAACACTTAATTAATGCGATAAAAATAAAATGCCTCGCCCCCATTTATTCATGCATGATGCTCTGGAATGTCTCATTAGGAAGTTACTAACATTAATTTCTATTTAATAGGAATTCCAAACCTTTGGTGGAAATATGAGGAAATTCTAGTTCATCTAAATC